GGACACGGAGACCTGCCCCACCTCCTGCAGCTTCCCGTCCGAGCCGCGGTCCATGAACAGCGGGGCGCCCACGAACACGTCCGCGTAGCTAGGGAACAGCCGTTCGTGCGGATCCAGTCCCCCCATCACTCCTCACTCCCCCCACCCCCAACCGCACGGAGGCTCAGAACGGTCATTTCAAAGCTGAAGGTCCCTCCAACTCGTCTAACAAAACTAGGAGTGATCCACAACATCACTTCTCTCTGTCATACGATCAACGCTATTAAAAGACATTATGAGGGTTGGCAGGGGAGGGGGGAGGCATCAACCCATGAACTCATATGCGTACAAGCATCACCCCTGGGCCCTGACAACGGGGATGATGGCCTGGGGCAGGGGCGGGGGCGGGGGTGCGGCTGGGAGGGCAGTGGGGGGAAAGGGGGACATCGGTAATACTTTCAACAATAAGATTTAAATAATAAAATAAATATAAAATAAGAGAGATGATGGAAAACAGAGGCCGCCTAGCATTCCTGGTAAGGCTGCTCAAACCGGTTCCCTACCAGAAGCCTGAGAGGCGAGGGGCCAGGCAGAGAGGAAACGCTGAGTTTTAGGAACGCACTCGTCAGCCCGGACGAAAGCAGTTTCTGGAAACACCGTTTTGACTTACTCGTCCCCATTGATGTCCGTGGCAGCGACAGCAAATCCGAAATACGCAGCCATCTGGGAAGGAGATGAAAGGACAGGTCATCCCTCCGGCCGGTCTGACCCCGGCAGCCGTGGTCTGTGTCAGGAGACGGGCGGTGTCTCCGCACGCAGTGCTTAGCCTGAGCTCCTCTGCGGTTCATCCCCCCCACGGCACCCTCAGGCACCGAGCGTGTTATCCCCCTGCATTCACGGGCAGAGCGTGTCCGCGTACACCGTTTCAGTGACTTCAACATACACAACCCAGCCAGCGTGGCTCAGTGGTGAGCGTCGACCTAGGAACCAGGAGCTCACGGTTCGATTCCCAGTCAGGGCACAGGACTGCGTTGCGGGCTGACTGTGTTGTGGGCTGACTGTGTTGTGGGCCGACGCGGTGTAACTGGGAAAATGAGAGACACGCCTGGACCCAGGTACGAGGTCAGAGCACATATGATGATGTGTATGTGTGGGGGGCACATGCTGACGTGCCGCCTGGAATGTCATGGACGCTTCGCCGGCCTTCCTCTGGGCGCTGGGCCTGCCTGACGGACGGAAAGGGTGGCGCTGCCTGAGGCTGTGGCCTGGGCCTGAGGCTGACACGTGCTCGGTGGTTCTCGACACAGCCCGCGGGGCAGTCACAGCATCCCTGCTTCTGGGCATCGGGATTTACAGGGGGAAACCCCTGGGCAATGCGACAGGCTGAGCAAGCCCGGCCGGCGTGGCTCCGTGGTTGAGCATCGACCTATGAGCCCGCAGGTCACGGTTCCGGGTCGATATTTTAGCACAAATCAAGGAAGTGGCACCAAATATTACTTGTAGTCACAGCTACACAATCACAATCTAAAAAAAAAGAAAAATGTTTTGTTGCCCTGGCCCGGTCATTCAGTTGGTTCGAGTGTCCTCCCATGCACCAAAGGGTTTCAGGTTTGATCACTGTTCAAGAGGGTGATGTGGAAGGCAACCAATCTCTCTCTCTCTCTCTCTCTCTCTCTATCTATCTCTCTCTCTCTCAAATCATGCCCTTTCCAAAGCCCATTTAAATGTCCCAGCTCAAATTCAGCCCCTCGGAACCTTCAGCTTTCTTTCTTTTTTAAAAAGTATATTTTATTGATTTTTTACAGAGAAGAAGGGAGAGGGATAATTAGAATCATCAATGAGAGAGAAACATCGATCAGCTGCCTCCCGCACGCCCCCTACTGGGGATGTGCCCGCAACTCAGGTACATGCCCTTGACCAGAATCGAACCTGGGACCCTTCAGTCCGCAGGCCGACGCTCTATCCACTGAGCCAAACCGGCTACGGCAATAAAAATATTTAAAGTAATAATAATAGTAACACTGCGGATGGGAGCACAGGGCTGCCTAATGGTCCTAACGCGAAGCCGAGGTTCCCCACAAAGAGCCGAGGAGGATCATGCCTGCACATGGGAGGATCATGCCTGCACATGGGAGGATCATGCCTGCACACAGGAGGATCATGCCTGCACACAGGAGGATCATGCCCGCACGTGGGAGGATCATGTCCGCGCACAGGAGGATCATGTCTGCACACGGGAGGATCATGTCTGCACACGGGGGGATCATGCCCGCACACTGGAGGATCATGCCCGCACACGGGAGGATCACGCCTGCACACGGGAGGAGGATCACGCCTGCACACAGGAGGATCATGCCCGCACACAGGAGGATCATGCCTGCACACAGGAGGAGGATCGTGTCGCACACAGGATCATGCCTGCACACAGGAGGGTCATGCCCGCACACAGGCGGATCATGCCTGCACACAGGAGGCTCATGCCTGCACACAGGAGGCTCATGCCTGCACACAGGAGGCTCATGCCTGCACACAGGAGGCTCATGCCTGCACACAGGAGGCTCATGCCTGCACACAGGAGGCTCATGCCTGCACACAGGAGGCTCATGCCTGCACACAGGAGGCTCATGCCTGCACACAGGAGGCTCATGCCTGCACACAGGAGGCTCATGCCTGCACACAGGAGGCTCATGCCTGCACACAGGAGGCTCATGCCTGCACACAGGAGGCTCATGCCTGCACACAGGAGGCTCATGCCTGCACACAGGAGGCTCATGCCTGCACACAGGAGGCTCATGCCCGCACACAGGAGGGGCATGCCCGCACACCGGAGGAGGATCATGCCCGCACACAGGAGGAGCTGCCTGAGGTGGGGAAGCCGCCCCAGCACAGAGGGACACCCCCCTACACCCCAATGGCAGGCCATTCGCTCCCAGCTGAGCAGCAACCCTGACTGTCCCCCAGTGGGAAGAGGCTGTGGGGACCGGGGTCCACTCCCTCCTGCTATCAACCCTCTAGCGAGGCCCAACCATCTGTGCTGAGCAGGACGTGGGCCTGAGCCGGGGCCTGAAAACCAGGCAGTTGTTCCCCCGAGTGCTAACGCACTTTTCCCGCGTCGTTACCCCCTTACGGAGCAAACCCGCACCTGGGACGTTTAAAAGGCACAGAGCGTTCCTTAGAGAGGTTAGCGTCATCAGCAAAGAAAAGGATGTTCCTGGTTTGAGTGTGAGCGACTTGGTTCTGCATTTCCTTTTAAAAAAACTAGCACCACATGCAATTACAAAAGTGTTTGCCTAAACAAATTACTTTGATTAAAACAATATAAAATACCTAAAGCCCATTTTACATCTGTACTACTGAATGCTGAACTGATATTTATTACATATTGAATATTAAACCATTAGGATTTGCCAAGAAAAACTGCAAGACGTCAGGAAATGCTGACAGTAAGATGTGAAGTGGAAAGAACGTTCCGAAGCGTGCGTACCTGCTCGCCAGTGAAGTTGTGTAAGGAGGACATGTTCTTCCCGTCGTAAATATAAACCTGTGCGGGAAAGCAAGAGTGTGAGACACAGGAAAAGCTAAGATAACCCAGAGAATTTTTAAAAATATGTGTTCACTTTCCTACCATTCCCAAAGTCCTCGCTGCTCTCGGAACTCCCGAGACAAAGTCTGAAAAGAAAAAACTCAATTACTCATTTTGAAGACCAACATCGGAAACTAACGGAGGAAGGGACATGTCCGAAAGCTGTAGGCTTTGATTTCAACGGACGATCAGTAAGAGATTTTTCAAAGAATCGGTTCTCCATAACCAGTGACCAGTGTGTTTTCAACCCCAAAATCAAACACGTACAAAACAGACTCATGAGGACCCTCCAATAAGCGCATGGGTGTAACCTGGTGGACAAGAGCAGTGAGACAGAGTGGCCCAAGGATGAAGAAAACCTCTGGCCGGCGTGGCTCAGGGGCTGAGCGTCCACCTAGGATCCAGGGGGTCAGGGTTCGATTCCCGGTCAGGGCACAGGCCCAGGTTGCGGACTCGATCCCCAGTGTGGAGCGTGCAGGAGGCAGCCGATCCATGATTCTCTCATCACTGATGTTTCTCTCTCTCTCTCCCTCTCCCTTCCTCTCTGAAATCAATAATATATTTAAGAAAAGATAAGGAGGAAGAAAACCAGGAGAGCCAATGAAACAGGGCAGAGGTGGCAGTTACTCAGAAACGGGATCCGAATCAGGGCACGTCTGCGGCCACCAGATAAGCTCTGAGGGGTGACGGGTGGACAGGGGGTGGGTGAAGTGACCACCGTGCCCAGCGCCCAGAGGGGCGGGTGCCAATTAGCCTGAAGGAGGGAGTAGCCACGCCCTCCATGGGGACCACCTGCTGAGCAAGGAGGGCGGAGCCCAGGAAACACAGTGGACGCTGGTCCGGAACGAACTTCACCCCAGAGGCTGTCTGAGCAGCGATTCCTTCGAAAACTGAATCATTTCCCCATTAAATAATGGAAATTAAGGTAATCGTTCCAGACCCCACTGATTCCCTGTGTCAGCCTTTCCTATAAACAGTCCCTGCCCGATGTGCTGTTTAATGTATAAACAAACACTCTTTTCCTAAATTCACAGACCCACCGCCCGCCAGCCTTAAAGGAGTTACTCCCGTCCCTGCCTCCCGAACGCTCTCCCAGGCTCATTGCTTCTCTTTTGTCCGAACCAACAGGGTTTCCTAGCTCTCCAACTGCCCGTGGTTGCTGTTTTGTGAGCAGTCACACCCTCGCAAGGCTGGCCCGGTGGAGGCCTCTCGTTTTAAAGGGGCGCCAATCCCAGCAGCGAGGCCCCCTCTCCTCGGCCGTCGCCTGCCAGGGGCTTGCAGTCCCGCTGAGGTGCCAGCCGGAAAGCGCTGTCGGGTCGAAAACTGGAGTTTTGGTCGACAACCGAGACATTTCTTTCTGTGAACACCTTGGTGGAGAACCGAATTGTTGGAGATGGGAGACGTTCGAGAAACGAGGTCTGCCCGTAACTGGGGGGCGGGGAAGGGCTGCTGGGGGGAGACTGAGCCCCCGCCCCCAGCACAGGCTCCAGCGTCTCAGCCGTGGCTTGAGGACCTCGGACACGAGCAGCTCCTGTCCATGCACCACCCCCCCTCGTTCCTGGGACAGTCCCTGAAACGGTGTCAGAGCTCGTCAGTGGCTGGACTTGCTCAACCCTGGCCCCCGTGTGTGAAAAAGGAAGAAACGCAGCTCAAGCCCCTCGTACCGTCGACGCCGTCCCCGTTGAAATCGCCGACGGCCACCGAGTAACCTGCACAGGGGACAGAAGGTGGACAGCGTCAGGCGGGCACCGCCACCCTCGCCACTCAGCGCACGCTCGGCAGAACCTTCCAGCAATTCCTCCAACTGCAATACTTCCTGCCCTGGGGTCAGAGTCGCACGTGCACAGGAGATGCCCTTAAAGCACCTGAGCTAAATATTCGAAGAGTAGAATAAACTGTCAGAAAAACAAGGCTTTACCAACGTCAGAGCTACTGAGAAACGGTAAGTCTGCAATTCATCGCCAAGTAGCAGACGTCCTCAGCCAGCCAAGCCCCGTGTCCGTCGTGTGCACTGGGTTTAATGCATCAGAGACACTGAGGGAGAGAACAAGCGTTCATACACCTAACGCCACGGCCGTCGTTTAACACGGCAATAATTCCGGCTCGGAGCCAGGCCGCCTGGTGTGACGGCAGAACAGCAACTTCTAAGTGAGGGGCTTCGGGAAGTTATTCGGCCTCTCGGGGCCGAGTCTATTTTATGTAAAACGTGAACAATCACAGTGCACGTTACTGACTTCCTGTGAGGATTCAATGAGGAAACACTGAGAAGCACTTGGTACCACACCCAGTAGCATAACTTAAACGTTATCTGCTATTGTCATAGCATAAACCAGCGGTTCTCAACCTGTGGGTCGCGACCCTTTGGGGGTCTAATGACCCTTTCACAGGGGTCGCCTAAGACCATTGGAAAACACATATATAATTACAGATTGTTTGTGTGATTAATCACTATGCTTTAATTATGTTCAATTTGTAACAATGAAAATACATCCTGCATATAATTTACATGACGACTCATAACAGCAGCAACATGACAGTGATGAAGTAGCAACGAAAATAATGTTATGGTTGGGGGTCAGCACAACATGAGGAACTGTATGAAAGGGTCGCGGCGTTAGGAAGGTTGAGAACCACTGGCATAAATGATCATGCTCTTCAATTCCAGTTACTGAAATGTAACATAACCTAAGTATTCAGTAACAATTTGAAGTTATATGCCCCTTACATTAAAAACAAACAAACACACAAAGACCTTAATCTATTTCACATGAAAGGTTTTCCCGTGTAAAGCAGGAACCACAGGAAAAGTCCACTCCGGGCGTCGGCTCCACCTACCCAAGTAGCTGTCGTCAAACACGGCCTGTGCGGTCCGCGTTGCCAGCTGGTTGCTGTACTGGATGCTGTAAACCTTGGGGTCGTATTTAGAAACAATTTCTGCCACTTGGTCCGATATGAGCTGACCTGGAACACAGAGAAGTCACTGTCTAGTGGGAACGTGAAGATGCGGACGATGGTGGCACCTGCATGAAGAAAACGGCCTGGGAATTACTACTTCTAACGATGAGCCGTAAACACCTCTCCTTCATCACAGTAAACCTGAAACTGGATTTTATTTTTAAGTCACAATCATTTCTATTCAATCCTGTACACACGTAAAACTGGTCTCTGCTAATAACAAAATTTTCTGAGTAGAGACTTTGTCTTAATTCCCTAAAAAAAACCAATGTTAAGTAAATGGAATAAAATCACGGGCTATTTTCCAACAAAATCTCTGAGAACTGGAAAAACGATCTGAAGCAATGAAACATCTTTCCTTCACCATAAGAATCACCGGGTCAACTGACTTTTTCCAGCGAATTATCTGAAGAAACTTCAGGAAGCAGCCTGGTGGGCAAGCTCGCTTTCCTTCTCAACCGGCAGTGACCGGGCAGACAGATCCAGACGACAAGAAACTCAGGCCGAACCCGCCACCTCCGCGGCCTGAGAACCACCTCTGCCTCTGCGGCTGTAGAAAGAAGCCGCAGCGACTAAAGGCTGAGCCCTGTCCCTCTCCGTGCAGCCCAGAGGGGGGACGACCGGGAGAAACTGTCCGTCTGGGTCGCCCCTCACCCGCTGGGCCACCCAGGACCTGACACACGGGCGGTGTTGGGGGGGGGTCCATTCAGTATCTCCCGAGCCAAGAACAGGAAAAGGCTCATCTCTGTGGCTACAGCACCGCCATCGCGTCCCTGTGCTCAGAGACAGTGCGGGCTCCACGGGAAACTCCCTCCAACAGGTCTGTTCCCGGTGGAACCTGCTCGCTGACATCTCATGAGAACAGAATCACAGGCTCTGCCCGGCCCCCGAGTCTCCGCCACAGACTGGCTCCCCCCGTTTACAACGAAGCCCAGGGCCCAGGACGCCACTGGCACCTGCACCGTCCGCACCTCCAGCACAGGGTGCGGCGGCTCCAGGAAGGCAGCGCCCACCCCGCCCCGCCCCGACTGGTTCCCACACGAGCGGATGAGACACGTCCCTCCCCCAGGACCAGCACACCCGGCACCAAGAAGAATAAATGTTTCATGTCTATTCATGTAACGATGAGCATGCATTTCCTCCTGTGCAATTAGAGCCACTGTTCCCACTGCAGAGCTGTACCGGCCGGTGTCATCTCCTGCCTCCCGCTGTCCAGGCCAAGCGTAACTCACAGGAAGGCAGCCTTGGCCGTAGCGAGCGCGGCTCTCACACTGACCCCATCTTGGCCTGGCTTCTTTTCTCCCTTCTCTCCTTTGTCCCCCCTTCCACCTTCAGTTACTCCCACTTCCCAGGCCTCCTATTCCCTCCAGCAAATCTCTCTCTTGAGCCTCCCGGCCTACAGAGCGAAGGCGTGGTTTTCCCGCAGAGAACAAGTAAGAAACGCGTGGCCTGTGGGAGTAAGAGCAGCGTCCGGCCCACTTCAAACCCTCTGGCTGGAGGGTGCCCGTTCTCCCCAATCCGGCAAACACCGGAGTGCCGAGAACAGGAGCGCCGACCGGCAAACGGCTTTCTCCGCAGAAAATACACGTGCGTCTAATGACCAATGGAACAGCCAGCGGAGAAGCGCAGGTGGTTAACGGTTCTGAAGCCGTCAGCAGACCTTGGTCTGTTATGTTGTATCTTCACATCAACCATCAATGCCAGTTTAACTACATCCTTTTGGAAATTAATAAGATCCTTTATTTTAAAAACTCCCAACACCAGTGGTTCTCAACCTTCTGGCCCTTTCAATACAGTTCCTCAAGTTGTGACCCAACCATAAAATTATTCTCGTTGCTACTTCATGACTGTCATGTTGCTGCTGTCATGAATCGTCATGTAAATATCTGATATGCAGGATGGTCTGAGGCGACCCCTGTGAAAGGGTCGTTCGACCGCCAAAGGGGTCGCGACCTGCAGGTTGAGAACCACTGCCCAACACAAAGACATCATTCGTGCTGTCCATGGTGAGTGAGGAAATCACCATCTCCATATCCGAACGAGCACATTCCAAACACTGTTGGAGCCGGAGCGTCTGGGACGCCAACCCCTGCCCATCACAGCTCAGCCCACGCACTGCCTGCCGCTCCTGTCGCGGCCTCACAGCAGACACAGAGGACACGCACCAACACGGGAAGGACTGTAACTCTCTTTCTACCCTAACTTACACTTCACCTTTTAAATATCCAGGTTATTTTCTCCTAAGAATACATGTACTGCTGTATATTATGTACACGCTATACACGTAAAACACTAGAAATGCTGTTTTATAATACCTTAAAAAACACTGTGGGACTGGTCAGTGATTGAACAGGGTGTCCCCAAAAATGTGTGTGCATTTTGAATGATTACAAAGTCAATGTTTATGAACACACAGTTCATTTTCAAAATCGAGTTATCCGCTGCTATACATTTTTGGGGGATACCCTCTATATCAGTGGTTCTCAACCTTGGCTGAACCACTGCTCTATATTGTATTTTTCTATTTCTTTCTAAGTGGAATAAGCCAATCTGAGGAAGACAAGCATCACATGATCTCACTTATGTGTGGAATCTAATGAACAAAATGAACTGAACAACAAGGTAAGACCTGAATCAGGGAGGCGCGGAACAGACGGATGTGCCTCGATGTGGGGGTGGGGGGACGAGCAGAGATAAACCAAAGGACTTACACACTCATATGCACGGCCCATGGACACGGGCAATAGGGGGGGTGAAGACCTGCGGGGGGGGTAGAGGCTGGGCAGAGAGGGGTTAAGGGACGGAAACGGGAGACTCTGTAAGGCCATCAACAATAAAGTCAGTGTATACTAACATAATAATAATGTGAAATCTCAGAGGGACACGGTAAGACGGGTGGGTGCTAATTAGCAGGTCATTATCGGGTGATTAAACCATGTTAACCTACCTTGCCAATAAAAGCTCCCAGGACCACCAAGAAGCACTCTGCCGGCCTAGATTAAATCAGAGAAAACGATGTATTTAAAAGCAGGGGCTTTAAACACAGGAAGCAGTGAGTTAAACACGAGCTGCATCGATGTACATATAGGAATGGAACATAGATACACGTATATTGGAGCAAACAGGATCATAAACCTCAGACTCATCCAACTCAGTCTCAGGTATTCTCAACGTGCCTTTTCTAAAATACAACAAAAATGCGAAGTTATATTCATTTAATATATGAAAGTTAACGAACATGACACCACAGCCACAGATTCCGTGGCTCGAGGCTGCTTCACAAACTGGGTACAGAAGTTACCACAGGCTCACAATACGGAAAAAAGTCACTCCTTAATATTGTATGTTCCCTGTGTGACTACACGGCAGCCTTCCCTCCTAAAACCCTTACAGATGTGTCAGCTAAAGGGAGCTTTTAGTCTCCTGCAGACCTAAGCAGGGGCGAGGTGAGAAGGCAGATTTCCAGGGTGTATGATATATACAAGTACCTTGGTTGCGGGCACATCCCCAGTAGGGGGCGTGCAGGAGGCAGCTGATCGATGTTTCTCTCTCATCGATGTTTCTAACTCGCTATCCCTCTCCCTTCCTCTCTGTGGAAAATCAATAAAATATATTTTTTTAAAAAAAGAAATACATGGATCCTGCACATCCGACTGGTCCCGCCTCTCCCTGGCTTCAGGTCCGCTCGGGGCTGCGGGCGCGTGACGGACGGCAAGTACCCTTGTCTCCCGGCGTCTGTGTAACGGGACTCCAACTCCGTCATAAAGCTCCCGGTGACAGCGTTGGTGACAAATCAGCTTCCATTAAAACCAGAAAACGCGAACGCTCCAGGAGCGCGTCTAACTGGGAATTTTAACGCTGAGTCCTAACAGTTATCCGCCCCCCTGCCCTCGGCCCCAGGTGGATGCCAATTCCAGCAAAAGCAGCCTCGAGGGAGAGAACGCAGAGATCAACGCCTGGGCCACGTTCGCTAGCTGTCTGCACGAAACGAGCAGCCGCTACGGAGAAGCTGAGGCACCGGCCGATTCCTTTTAACCAAGGCCGGGAGGAAGGTGGCCTGGCGCCCCGCTGCGTCATAAATGAGAACTTACCTTCGTAAAATCAATGCTGAATCCTCCTTGACAGAATCCCTGTCCATCAGCATCAATATTTTCTAAAATAAAGAAAAGATTGGAAATGTACACAAGCCCCCACAACAAGCGAACGACACACAAGAACCACCCCGATGTCGCTGAGATGGTAAGATGGCGCGCAGCTCACTCGCTCGGCACTGGGAGCGGCCGTCACGGGACGAACAGGTGCCCACGCGTGTTCTCGCAGCGAGGACCACAGATCCAAGTGCCCGGCCAGTCACCAGGCAACAGAAGAAACGCCGAAGGCGGTGAATCTTCCACTTCTTACTTTTAACCACAAACCACAGCAAGGTTACATTTTATCTCACACACACACACACACACACACACCACCACCACCACCATGCACACACAAATAAAACAATTTCACAAAACACTGCCACCATTATTAGGTACCGTACACTCTACCATTCTGTAGTTTATCGTATTTCATTCCTTTTTTTTTTTTTTGGTGACTGGTTAGGACCCACTATCTGACTTCATAAACAATGACGAGTTGTGATCTGAGTTAAAAACTCCCCTTTGAGATCCCCGTCTCTTACTGTTACTATCCTGCAGTCGGTAGGTCTTTGCACGAGTAAAGAAACACATACATTCCTAACACATCCATCTCTCATGTATATTTTACAGCCAATAACAACAACAGAATCTATTTAAAACACAGTTCAGACCTGCAGGGGACAGCCAGCACCTAACTGATGTCTGTGAAAAGCAAAACACGGACCACGCCTCACAACACGTTTAGTTCTGGGGTCGATGAACGCGGGCGGCGTTAAACATGACACTTTCAGGTGCTTCTACCTGATAACGGACTCCATTGTTCTACTCCTTGGGGGCGACCCTTTTTGGGGGACGATTTCTAGGCAACTGGTCTATTAATTTAAACGAAATTTAATCATGAGCAATATTGTACCTAGAACAGACGTAGGAAGGAACCTAAAGGTTTCCCCTTGTTTTTTTCTGAGGATAACGGGAAACAGCGAAGAAAAAGCTGCTCTTCACTTGGCAAGGAATTTTCTTTTCTTAACCTCCTTTTCACTCACAGTTGACAGACAATATTGTATTACTTTCCGGTGCACAAATAGCGATGAGAGATGTATATGCCTCGTGACGCGATCATCCTGGTAATATAAAGGAATCCTTACAGCCAATGTCGCCACACAGAGATAATCACGCCGCAGTGACTGCATTTGCCTCCCAAATAGAGGAACCAAAACCGCTCTGTCTGAAGTCATTAGGGCAGCGTGCGAGGACTTTTTTCAAATACTCCCACCAAACATTCTGAGCCCTTTTTAAATAACTTGGGAACTGCCCAAGATTACACACTTCGTATTCCAAATTTAGATTTTTTTTTTCCAGAAATAATCCTCAAGACTGTAAAGTTACCCGTGTAAAATTTCCTCCCAGGAGGGGCTGGGAGCTGCAGCGGGGTTTCCATCGACAGCATCTGCGGACTCACAGGCAGGAATTCTCTCTGACCTCAGGCCAGACAAGCACTTCCTTTACTCAGTCACATCTGGGGAACTATCTCGGACTATTTATAAGGACGTCCTTTCTCCGTCAGACTTCCTACGGTTTCCCAGAACATCCCGTTAGAAACCACCCTGCCCTTTAAAATTGTCTTAACAGGAACACTATTTTTTTTTAATGTGCTTGTGGTTTTTTAAAAATTGATTTTTAGAGAGAGAATAAGGGAGAGGGAGAGACAGGCAGAAACATCAGTGATGAGAGAGAATCACGGATCGGCTGCCTCCTGCACGCCCCCCACCAGGGATGGAGCCCACAGGCCGGGCCTGTGCCCTGACCGGAATCGAACCCTGCCCTCCTGGCTCACAGGTCGACGCTCAGCCCGAGCCCCGCCGGCCTGGCAGGCACACCACTGAACGGAGAGCTAATGCTGCCGTTAGGAGTTTCTCGTGGACCACGACCTCCTTCGGGGGAGCTTTTGCTTTCATTCCTGCGACGGTTACTGCGGTTACTGTCGCTGTCAGGAAGCCTGGCAGCAGCGCTGACGGTGCAGGCAGGGCAGCTGTGCACGGGGCCTCTCTGGGGCCGGCCCTGCTCTCAGCCCCTCCCGGCGGCATCTCAGTGCCCACCGTCCACACGCAGGGGAGCGAAGGCTTCCAGACGCTGGCACCCTGACCAGTCGGAGCAGCCGGTAGGGCCAGAGCAGGTGCGAGCCCCAGTGTGTCCACCAGGAGGCGCAGTCCCCTCTCCCCGCAGGAGCCACCAGGGGCGGGAAGCCAACTGGACATGAAAACCAAGAAGGAGCTGTGTTCCCACAACATCGTGGTCGGGAGCGGGCGGCACACGTGCCTCCGTCGGGCGTGGGAGTGAGGTCAGGTGCGTCCGGCGATGGGGGCTCCGCACTGGAGCAGAGAGGCTGGGCCTACTGTGCGCCGGCCACAGACACAGCAGAAGCCCAGAGCACGTGTCATCAGCAACCAGGAAGCTGCTCACAGTCAGGTTCCAGCCCAGGGTGTCCCCACGGGTCATGCCTGCGCGGCTCAGTGGTGAGTGTCAACCTATGAACTAGTGCAGTGATGGCGAACCTCTGACGCGCAAACTCAGCTTTTTGGTTGATTTTTCTGTTAAATAGCATTTAAATATATAAAATAAATATCAAAAATAGAAGTCTTTGTTTTACTATGGTTGCAAAGATCAAAAAATTTCTATATGTGACACGGCACCAGAGTGAAGTTAGGGTTTTTCAAAATGCTGGCACGCCGAGCTCAGAAGTTTCGCCATCACTGGTCTAGTAGGTCAGGGTTTGACTCCCAGTCAGGGCACCTGCCCGGGTTGTGGGCTCCATCCCCAGTGGGGGGGCCTGCAGGAGGCAGTCGATCAGTGAGTCTCTCTCATCACTGATGTTCCTCTCTCTCTCTCTCTCTCTCTCTCTCTCTCTCTCTCCCTATCAATTAAAAAAAACTGTATTAGTCTGAAGCTCTCAAACCAGAGTAACCCTCAAAGCCACCCATGGAATTTCTCTAAAACGCAGGTCCCCAGGCCTGCCCTCGTCCTAGTGAATCAGAGTCTAACGTCTGTTAGAAAAGCTCAGTGCAGCTTCTTTTGACTAAAAGTGACTAAAAATACAAGCTTCCAACATCGAGTATGAGTTACGACTAACTACGGAGGATGGAGACCCCTTCTTCAGAGACAAGCCTGCCGCCCGCACATGTGTCCTGGCTTTACGGTAACAGGACTGGCTTCACTTTGCTGTCACCAAACATGACCACCTGTCTATAAATGTTCACCCCCTCCCTTGACACGCACACACACACACATGTGCACACACATGCACACACGCACACACATCCTTAACCATCTAGGCCCCCCAGCCCTGTTCTCAGAGGGGGTGCACGTCCCACACGTACTTGACCGGCACGGGGCGTACTCCACGGTCCGCGCCCCGTCCTGAAGGAAGCAGGTGCCCACGGGCTCTCGCTCCTGCTTCGTCTCCGTCCTCCAGTGGTACAGCGGGGCGCAGGCCTGCCATCAGAGGGGCCAGTGAGTGCGAATTCTCTGAAACCAGCATCTCAGACCACCTCGCCGCCTCAGAGCAACAGTCCTCTGGCTCAGGGCTCCGACCTACGGATGGCGCGTACTTCCAGCCACGGGCAGGGTAGGGGGGCCGGGGAGAAGGCCTCGACAGAGACTCTGGGGCCCAGAACAGACCCCGGGGACACCCCACCCTTAGAAAGTGAGCAGGAGAGGAGCCATGGAAGGAGTCGGCAAAGGAGCAGCCAGCGAGAGGGGAGGAAGCCAGGCCAGGACGGGGTCTGTAGCCAAGGGAAGGGCATGACTTCAAAGAGGGGTTGCCAGGCCAGTGTGGCTCAGTGGTTGGGGGTCGGCCCATGAACTAGGGGGTCACGGTTCAATTCTGGTCAAGGGCACATGCCCAGGATGCACACTCGATCCCCAGTGTGGGGTGTGCAGGAGGCAGCGGATCGGTGATGTTTAAACATGAAACTCCATTTCTACATAAACCGACGATGAACAAACATCCAAAACACTCACCAAGATTTTGTCCTGCTTGGACCTCACGGATGCGCCAAACCACTGGTGCGACTTAAATTCCAACGGGTCGTCCTTGGCATAGTCCCGGTTGCCTGAAAAACAGACAGTGTGCGGGATGCGCATCAAGCAGCACATTCTAGGGCAACAGCTGGTTCCATGCGGCAGCTTTGACAGCGTGGCTCTGCTCATCCAAGCTCCACCTCGCTTGTTTATCTCCTGCACTTCCCACCGAATCCGAAAAGATGCCTTAGCCACGTCTCAGGGTGTCACTAACCTCATCGATCACCCTAGGGCAGACGTGGAACAGTAACAGCCATGGAAGTTTTCCGGTTGCTAAATTGTAAGGTAATTGATGATAAACAAATACTTATGATGCCGACTGGACCCCGGCAGCTCTCTCTGTGGCATAAAGATGTTCACGGAAATAAGAGGCTACGAAACGCGCTGAACACCAGCCGCAGAAGGGCCACCGCCAGGGACCAGGCGGCCGGGCGCTGTGATGTCAGAGCGGAGCCAGGAGCCAGGACGCCGGTCCGAGGGAAGAGAACTCATTTCTCCTCCGGGCGGCGTCACCGCAAAAACTACCCCCAAAGTCCCAGGCGCCGTGGGAAGCGCCGTCATTGAAAACACGATAAAAATCCCTCCCGTGGTGAAGCTCACGGAGAAAACGCAGAGACGCCACATGGAGTGTTTGGGGAGGAGAGACCGGTTACTTTTAATCTCTAGTTTGTTCTGCTTAAAATCCCTCCATAATCCTTCCTCATAAGTGCCGGGGGCCAATGCCAGTGCCCATGTCAGGAATGCAGGCCCACATGTGAGTATCGCCAAATGCCCCGCGTGCCTCCGCTCTTCAAATCTGATCCCTAAGCCGCACCGTGTAGGGTAGTACGATGGTTATTAAATCCGTTTTGGAGACTTGACACTCACGGACAAACCTAAAGAATGAATGAGCATCTCAATAATGCCAGCTGTCTGACAGGCACGGGGAAGGGTGTACCCTTGTTCATTGTAATACTCTTTTTGTTGTTTAGAAAATGTTTTTAACATATTTGTATTGATTTCAGAGGGGAAGGGAGAGGGAGAGAGAAACATCCCTGATGAGAGCGAATCATGGATCGGCTGCCTCCTGCACGCCCCCTACTGGGCATGTGCCCTTGACCAGGAATCGAACCGGGGACCCTTCAGTCCGCAGGCCAACGCTCTATCCAGTGAGCCACAGCAGCTAGGGCTGCAGCATGTGTAACATCACACAGGCTTCC